CTCTCTCTCTCTCTCTCTCTCTCTCTCTCTCTCTCTCTCTCTCTCTCTCTCTCTTTGTCCCTCTCTCTCTCTCACACACACACCCACATACACACAGTAGACAGGGATTGCCCAGATACCTGCTGTATCTGGCTTTAGTCACGGGCGTGTAGGAGGCACACAGAAGGTGCCGCTGGCAGCGTGTGTGTGTGTGTGTGTGTGTGTGTGTGTGAGTGTCATGGATTCAGCCTACACCGACTATGAATAGGGTCAAAGTACAAAAGCTTACATGGTAGTTATGTGTTAAGTCCCATTCATTCCTCGTGATTAAACGTCACCGAGCCTTTTTTTTTTTTTTTGCTGGAAATCCGCGGCCTCCGTTTCATGTCGCCGTTATCCTCTCTCCTCAGTTTGGAGATGTGCGCCGAGCATCTCAATTTCACCATGTGCCCTTTGTGTGACGGGGCTTGCGACTATTGGCATCTCAGCACGGCCTGCGGCACCGCCAGGGCCTCGCACCTCTTCGACAACCCCGCCACGGTCTTCTTCGCCATATTCATGTCTCTGTGGGGTGAGGCGACTTGTTTTCAACACACACTTTTGGGAAAACTAGCCGAGTAAACTAGCAGGCTGATGGAGACATTTTATCTTCCTCTTCTGAAACTTTTAGAACAAATACTTGGAGCAAAAGGCCAAAGACCACTGTTATTTGCCATGACATTTTCCAAAAAACTGATTTATTAAACAGAAATGGGCCTATAGAATCAATAAACATGGTTTATCTCCAAAATATACAACTCGACATCATGATCAAGATGCCGAGGTATATTCTGAGGTGCTGCTTCAATCCATAGCAGGTGGTGGGAGAGAGGAAGATGCCAGCCAAGCTATTTTCACTCACTGACACGTCTCTGGTCTCTCAATCTATCTATGACACCATTGGAGCAATAGATAGCTCCCTCTATACCCAAAATGTAGGAAGGAAGGATATTAATGATCACCTTTTCAGATCCGTTTTCAGATATACTCTTCAAATTGCTTCAGTCAATTTTTTTTTATTTCAATTCCAGCAGAGGGGCCAACCATGTTTCCTTACCTCTCCTTTGAAAGTTCAATGTTTTCTAACTCGTAATTCTAAAAATTCCCCGACTCTTAAATGCCGAATGTAATTTTAACCCTTTTAGTTGCGTGCTTTATCTTGACTATCTCACGTGACTATTTAATCTTGCGTAACTGTCAGTCATGTAAACTTTAACGTAAGGCATATTTGAATGACCAAACACGTGGGGTCAGATCTAATCTAAAACGGGTCTTGTGGTGCATTTGCCTGAAGTGCTTCCACCAATTCCAGTCAGTGAATGGGAAGAAAAAAAAATAACACTGGGCACCCAAGGCAAAGATGTTCAAGAGGGTTGGAAGTTGATTTACTTTTTCCAAACGGATGGAAGTTTGTGTCGCACAAACTGATGACAACCTTAGTTTCTGTTGAAAGAACCTAGCATAAGCGGTATTGATGTGTTAACCAACAGTGTAACCGTTTCTTTTTACTACATTTATGATTCAGGTATGGTTTGAGAGATCAAATATCTGAATGATATCGATCTTTTTTCGGATGTGTTATGAAATATGGTGCTGATTGTTGTTAAAGCGTATATTGTGTTGCCTTTCTTTGTGTTAACGTGCAGCTGTGCTGTTCCTGGAGCAGTGGAAACGTCGGCAGATAAGTTTGAGCTTCAGCTGGGACCTGACAGGCATAGAGGATGACGAGGTACATCCCGATGTCCCCCCAAATACCTATTTTCCAGTCTTTTTTTGGGGGGTGGATTCCATCGTTTGACTTCGTTTTGTTATCTAAAATCTGTCACAGAGATGTACTCTTTTTTTTCTTTATTTCTTTAGGAACACCCCCGGCCAAGGTACGAGACCATCCTACTTCAGAAAAAGCAGAGGAAGCAGAAAACTAAGAAAAAGAAGAAAAAGAATGAGGTATGAATTATAGCATACTACTTTACAAATTAGTAACTTTGGGGCAACACATGAACACATGAACACAAACTGTGTATTTTTTATTACTCCAACCCTGTTTATCAGCGTGTAAACCGAAACATAAATGCTCATTCCAGCCATGTGGTTTCAACTCCTGTTTTCTCTTTATCGTCTAAGGGCAAAGCACAGTGCTTCCGTTATGAACCGCGTGACCGATTGTGTCGTGGGGCGTCTTCTAAATTTAATTGATGGTCACTCAGTGTCTTGTCTCCCTCTGAAAAACACCCCGTGGCGACTGGTGACTCCTTGCGTTAGGATCACGGATGCAAAGATTTTCCAGTAAACATTGTGCGCCCATGGCGAGGCTGTCCATGGCAGACTGTGTTTTTTTTTTTTGTTTTAAACGTCAGATTTCTAAGAAATTAAATGAGGCAAATTAAAGAATTTCGACAGGCAGTGAATCACGGGAAAAAACAGAAAATAAATTCTAAATGTAGAAGTCAATTTCAAATTTAGAGCTTAAAATGGTAAAAAAAAAAGAAGTGATTATGAATGAACGTGGCGAGATTACATCAATTAAAATAATTAGATTTGTATTAAAACTGCTTATCAGGATGTCCTTGTTGGCACATGTGTCTACGTGTGTGTATGCGTGTGTGTGTGTGTGTGTGTGTGTGTGTGTGTGTGTGTGTGTGTGTGTGTGTGTGTGTGTGTGTGTTTGAAAAACCTGTCTTTCTGTGTCGTAGCCAGACAAGCAGGAGGACGGGACAGTGACAGGGAAGGACAGATGGAGACAGAAACTGCTGTCTGCCATGTCTGCAGGAATCCCGGTAAAACCCCTCTCCTCTCCTCTCCTCTCCTTTCTTTTCCTCTCCTCCACACGCCCTCTTTCTTTCCTCCTCTCCTTTAGTCTTCCTTTCCTCTTCACGCACACTTTTCTTTTTCCTCTTGCTCCACACTTCCCTTTGCCTCTCCTATCCCCTTTCCCCCCTTTTTTTCCCCCTTTCCTGCAGGCAGCTATCTATCTGTTCTTCTCTTCCTGTCCCATCCTCTGGCTGCTTAAGTTTCAACTCTTCAGGTATTTGATTTTTAAACCCTTTCGTTAATCCCGATGTGTAAAATATCGAATAGTCAAACTCTGCTGCATTTTTCAATCGGCGGTAAAAAAGTGTTCATAACTGTAACAATCCTGAATGTTAACCCTCAGATAGACCACGTTTATTCTTCCAGAGAGCCCGAAACCTATTAGACGATCATTCTAATTGACGATGACTTCACATCTCTAATATATTGAAGCATGTTGTGCATGTTTTTTGCTTTGACACAAACCCACGATTGATTAAGAACTTTAAAAAGCTTCAAATGAATAACTGATTGATAGGAAACTGCATTGTCTTGGCACCACAAACAGAGCAGGCAAGAAGTCAAGTTGAATAAGCATCCCGGTATAAATAGGTTTAATAGGAGTTAAAGACATTTTTAGCTGGTTCGCGCAATGACTTCAATAGACAGCTCTCTGAATTGTATTTATGGACTTCATATTCACCCTGTCTTAGCATTCTTCTGCTAATTTGAGTTACATTTATACAGTTTAATTCTAGTCCAATGAATTTGAGTTTTTATTTTTGTTTCCAACCCAGTTGAAACAATGGTTGAAGAGAAAGATTAGCATATTAGCTCAGAATACTAAAGCGTCAAATATTTTCCGTAATCTATTAAACCATCCATCCATTTTCGTAACCGCTTACTCCCTAATGGGGTCGCGGGGGGGAATGGAACCTATCCCAATGGTCAATGGTGAGTGTGGACAGTCCACCAGTCCATCGCAGGGACACAGAGACACACAAGGATGCACATTCACATTCACTGCTAACCACCACACCACCGTGCCACCCATCTATTAAACCTGCCCTCAATATTTTTATTAGAGCCACTAGTTTGGTTGTGCTCTAATAGTTAACAGGGTTATTGGATGAATGGCTTCCGGCAATCCTTTGATTAAGAACAGTTTAAACACATCTCCCAATAATCAACCATGCGTGAGGTGTGTATTCTCACAAGTGGTCATTTACTCAGCCTTTTTTCTGTAGTAAAGGCCCACATTGGAGGAAATGGATTTAACAGAAACACAAATGATTATTCATACCTTTCTCTTTTGACAAATTAATTATTCCAATGTTAAAAAAAAAAAAGATATTTTAATTTACACCAGCTATATTTATTTCTCCAACCTACTGTTTGTGTCCATTGCCATCCCTTTTTTGTTAAATTTCCAATGAACTGACAATTGTGGATGAGAAAACCTATCAAGATTTTCTTTTTATGGCGAGGCTGGGAAAAAAAAAACAAGACAAAGAAAATTATACAAAGAGGTGCATGGCACAAAAAATAGAGGAGGAGGAGAGAGAAGTGAAGCGTTGGAGAAAAAACAGAGGGAGGGCGGCTGAGTGGGAGTGAGGCACGCTGGGCAGGAAGCCAGGGGTAAGATTAGTGACCATCACTATGGCGACACAGAACTCATACACATTGCAATCATTGTATTTTTTTTTATTTTTTTTTTACCTGAGACATTGAAATATACCATAAGTTCAGAACAGGAGTTTTTATTTTATTTATATAACTACACTGTACTGATTATTGGATCAGCTCTACAAAGCTTTTGACAACCAGCTCCTAATGTACACTCCAAATCTAATAAACCAAATGTTTAGGTAAAGAAATATTATCCGTTTTTTTTCGGGAGTGCTTGATATGATGCCATGACAAATATGAGCTCATCTTGACGAAAAGAGGTCCAACAACTGGTGGTCTCGGTTCCCAGGCCAGACCCCGTTCCCCTTCCGTGTTTCCGTCACCGAATTCGACATGAGCCAATATTGTTCGTGAAATATTCATACGCATTTGTGGCCGGGTCCCCGTCGCCAGAGCTTTGTTGGACTTCCCCTCAGCGGATTCTGCCAGCCAAATATAAAACCTGACCCATTTACCGCCTCCCCCACAAATGGCTGTCCCCAACGAGCACACACAAACACATGCACGCAGATTTTTCTCTCAAGGTCTTTTCCTCCATCTGTATGTCAGTCCCTCAGTGTTCATTTTTGTCTTATATATATATATATATATTTTTTTTTTTTACATAACCTAGTTTTTAGAGGGGAACGCAATGACATCTTGTTACTGTTGCGAGCAAAAACTTTCTTGAGGTCATCTCACTACACAGCTTTACATTCTCAGATAATAAAATTCAGTTCTTTTTACAGGTATTAGCTTTTTACTGGTAAAAATAGTTAAGAATTCTCTTCCACTTGTCTGGAAAGTGCATGCTTTATTGAGTATGGCAGGGTCAGCGAGGCCTGACCCTCCAGAGTCCGGACTGTCAATCAAAACCTTCTAACCAAAATCCGTAGGGTTTAAAAAAAAAAAAAAAATCCGAAATGCCAAGTCAATTGATTTATATTTATATACGTCTTTTAGTAGATTAATGACAGTGAGAGGGTGATGAGGGTCTTTTCCATGCCAGGGGCATTATAGAGTAAATGTTTAAAAGAAAGAGAGAAGGTTTTCGGTGGTTCACAAGTGGTGTTTAAGTTGGAAAAACCTTTTAGATTTACTCATTGCGCTACTCATTGGCAGTTTAGATATTTTGATAAATGTCAGATAGATCTGTGTGTAACTGATACAATTAAACACAAGCTCACAAAAATGATGCTAAAGTGTGTAATATTGTTAGCCATGAAAAAATGTGAGAACAGGCGTGGTGAGGTTTTAGGTTGTTTTAAAGTTGATATAGGTGATTTTTTCTTACCCCAGTAAGTTAACAGCCATCTTCATTAAGTCAACATCACCTAAAGGGCTGATTAAACGTAATCATTAGCTTAAATTGAAATCTTTTTAATGTGTTAATTAATGAATGAATGAATCAAATTCTAGTTTAATTCTGCATTACAGTCAAATTAAAACCAGCCCATTGTCACCCTACTGAGACCATCTGAAAACTTCCCTGATAATAAATGTACAACAAAACTGTTATAAAAAGTAGCCAAAAACAAACAGATTGCATCAAATGTCATCAATATGTCAGAACCTAAACAATTGAGCGCAAAATGCCGAATGCTCCAAAAGCACAGATGGTCAGTTAGTCGGGCTTTACTGAGCACCATCATGGGGACTCAGCAACAACATGGAAGACCTACAAAAACATTTAAATGGCAGAAAATGACATTTCTTGTTATTTGATCATTGATTTTAAATTCTGCTGTTTACATTTGGTTCTCATAAACTCTTATATTCCTGTAGTGCTTTGTGGCTATCTGTTACATTGCCTATTCATTAATTAAACCCTTACATGGAAGAATTTAGCTAATTGAATCTTTATCTGTCACATTTCATTGAAAATGTTGCACTTATTCCAGGATGCCAATACTTTTATCTGCATTGTATCTATTTAACTTGCTGTACAATGTCAACCTATCCACTAGATGGTGCTGTTGTACTGGAAGTCATCATAAAACTACATCTGAAATTCTTACTCTCTCCGCTCTGTTAATGTTCATAAATGTCTATAAACACTTACACTTGAGGGAATTAGTATATATGGCTTTGGATAGAGTTAAATTCCTTTAACTTAATTAAAGTGAATAATCTTTTAACCCAATTTATTTTCAAACACCACTCAAGTCATACATGCTAACATGGCTAGTTCTGGTGCTTTGAGGACTCCAAAAGGCTGAAAAGTCCATTTATCTTCCTTTATCAATACTTTATCATCATTGTCTAACCTTTTCTAGTTTTTTCAACAACCCCTGGAGTTGACAAAACAATCACAACAGACATAAATATCAGATTCCAGTAAGTTCATCACATTAAGCCATTCAAATAGCTTGTAGCAGCTCCACCCAAAGTTTAGGTATACATGATCATTCAAAATTAATTCCATTCATCATATGCATTTTCTTTTTGTCTGGACTTCAAGAATTCAATTGGCTGCTTTCAACAATTCTTTTGTTGCTTCTGAGCATTATTTAGTTGTCTTGCAGAGGAAAAAAGACATTTGAATTGAGCGGGGCAAAGAAAAATACATAGTTAGCCTAGCTTAGCATAGCAACTCGATGAATGGCCCTGCTCTGAATTAGCTAATTGCCTGTAGCTTGAATAGATAAAAAAAAGAGAAGAAGGGAAGAAAAAAACAGTTCAGCCTTCATGTGTCCTTGCAACAGACCGTATGTTGTTTCTACTGGTTTCTCTTAGATTTCTTTAAAGCTAAATGTCAGTTTGGTTTTAGCCATATTTGATAGTAATTGAGAAAGAATGCATGTGATATGGATTGTACTTTAGATTCAAAGAAATGAAAATGCTTCCTCCAGCATGGTTTCCTTATTTCAACTATAGACCATAAAAATAAGCCCTTACACATTTTTATGTGTCTCTGCTGAGATTTTAGTAGCGTTTAGAAGTGTTTTCCGAACCTCCTGGCACTGTTTCAGTTCTCCACTAAACTTTCACAAGTCTTTTAAAACAAAGAAATTGGAAACATCCTCCTAGATTTCACAGAAAAGAACTTGGACATGTACCTTTAAAATAAATGGTATAGAGTTATTTTCTTGTTTGTTTTTTCTTTAGATCTTTCTTCTGGTGACTGTGTTTTTTCCTGCGCTCCTTTCCAATAAAGTTAAACATCACTGGCAGCCGTTTGCATAACTTGGAATGTTCTTTTCTCTTTTCCCTACTGCCTTCACAAATCCTTTCTCTTAGGCTGATACAGAGAAGTTGACCTGGAAAGACCGTCTCCCTGGATACCTCATCAATGTTTCCTCGATCCTTTTCATGGTCAGTGCATTAAAAAAATCAGAATCATATGTTTTCTCATCACTATCTTATTTCAGTAGGGCTGAAAGCACTTTGAATAGAAAGAAAAAACAGCTCACTTACATGAATTAATAAGGGACATCTGCGCTGTCCATGCAGTATTTATTTCCACCAGTTTATGCCACCTCTTTGACAAATATGGCGGTTTCATCGCGTTGTCTCTTTTTTTTTTTCTTCCAGTTTGGGCTGACGTTTTCCGCCGTTTTCGGGGTGATCGTCTACCGCATCACCGTGTCGGCCCTGATGGCCATGAGCCCCGACCCGGAGACCAAGTCCAACGTCCGGGTGACGGTGACGGCCACCGCGGTCATCATCAACCTCGTGGTCATCCTGATACTTGATGAGATCTACGGCGCCGTGGCGCTGTGGCTAACTGAGCTAGGTACAAAAAAATGTCTACATTCAATTTAGGGTTTAGTGTAAACAAACTGCACAAACATCAAAAAGGCAGGTAAAGGTCAACTCGGCTGACCACTGACCATGTTAATGTTGGAGTTTTTTCTCTTTGGAGATGGGTCAAGCACACTCCTAAGGGCAAATTCAAGTCTTCAATTAACCTCAATTGCATGTTTTTTCACCACACTTTTAATATGATTGTTGACTAAAGTCTGGACACAGTCTAGAATGACATGTGTTGGTGCTTTGAGGATGGATTCAATGTGTTTAAAGACCTGGTGAGGACTAGATCAGGGGGGTTGGCAACTCCAGGCCTGGAGGTGCTGCTGTCCTGAAGGGTTTTAGATGTTTCCCTGCTTCTATACACCTGATTCAGATCAAGCTGATCTCTTCTAATGACCGTTGAGGTCTGAGCAGGACTGCTGATGTTTTGACATGAATCCAGTGTGTAGGAGCTGGGAAACTTCTAGAACCTGTAGGACAGTGGCCCTCGAGGCCTGGACTACATGATATCTTACTTTATTTGTGCATGTAGCATGATGCTAACCAACTTAAACTCGTACTCCATCTGCATAACAAACAGAATAAGCCGTTGTTCAGTTGTTGAGCGAATGTGTAATTAATGTAATGTTGATCTTTTTTTTTGTGGTGCATGGTAATTTTAGGACACATGGGCCTAGTTACTTGGTTAGCATAGCGCTTCAAGCCAGTAGCTTGCATTTGTAACCATTTATTGGTTTAGTTGTTTGCTGTTTCATCAATTAATGTGTAGAAACTGTGAATTGGAAGTTGCCCTACATACTGTTTAATCATATGTGTATTCCCTCACTTCTAGTAAAGTTTCGAGCGCCTTTTCGTTGTGTTCGTGTAAAGATTTGTTGTCATTTTCAGGCGCAAGATCATTCATGTGTGTCAGTATGTCTGACTCTGAAAGACAGTCTTCCTGCTTCTTAGCAAAAAGGGCTAATAAATGTTTTACGTTTCCATGCTCCAACCATCCCATCAGTCCTCCCGAGAGGTTTTTGGCCACATTGACATTAGTATTCACAACCACTGACAAAATTTGGAACGGAAATATGAGGACAAGGGATTGCATTCATATGTATCTATGCAATATTTATTAGATTAAAAGTGCCAGAAACTAAACTTACCTCTAGCTCAGTGATTAGAGTTAAAACTGTGTGTGGCCTCTCAGAACAGCGTTCTCATGAGATCATAACAGCTTAAACATATAGTATGAAATGTCGGGATGTAAAACTTGTAATATACATTATATATAATGCAATAACTCTTTTCTCTGTTGCCGCACCCTCTGACCCCATGAAATAATACTCGCACTTTGATGCCAACATTTTTTCAGAGATTCCTAAAACGGAAACCAACTTCGAAGAGCGCCTCATCCTGAAAGCCTTCTTACTGAAGTTTATGAATGCATACGCTCCCATCTTTTACGTGGCGTTTTTCAAGGGACGGTAAGACATTTATCCATGTGCCCATGTAGCTCTGTCTGTTGGTGTGTATTTAACATTGTTTTACTAAAACAGGTATGAACAAAACATCAATTATTCATTAACAAGGGAAAATAACCTTATTCTCGTCTCTGGGGTGATAATTATTTTGTTTTCCATTCTGCTCATGTATTTATTATTGTTTATTTCATGTGTAGCACTGAACCTCCCAGCAACAACAAACATGCTTTAAAATGGACAAGGAATCATTAATATTTATGCTTGCTATCTCATCATTATAGAAATATGGGTAATATGTGTAATTCTTCAAATGACAAACCAAGTTCACTTTGTCTGTGAGGCTGAAAGCACTTCTGTGATAAACATTTAATCTGAAAAATACTATAGAATGCAAGTATCTTCGTTTTGATAAGAAAATTATGTTCTCTCAAGTTCACATTGAAATGAAATCTTGAAGAATAGAGCAGAGCTTGCTCCATTTTACTTTTGTAGATGTCCACCGAAGGCGTTGTTGTTTTCTACCCCGCTTAAAACATTTTTTTGGTCAGAAGAGCTACTTCAACTGATTTACTTGTAGCTTTTGCTGCCACCAGGTGGTGACAGGATTGAAAACTATTAAAAATGTTACATTTTTTTGCGGCTCGCTTTAGACTTATATCCAAGACTCCTCCCTTAATTACATGTAATACCGTTACCAATCTATATTTATAAGCATTTTAAACTCCTAATAGTGTCCTGTTGCTTTTGTTTGGTTCTGCAGGTTTGCTGGTCGACCTGGAAATTATGTGTATGTCTTCAATGATTATCGAATGGAGGAGGTTTGTGTTCTTTTTAAAACAATCTTTGAATAATACTTTTTTTCCATTTCCAGTCATTTCCAGTCATTTTTATTCTATTCTGTGGAATCAACTCAGATATAAAAATGTGCCTTTCCTCCTCAGTGTGCTCCTGGAGGCTGCCTCATAGAGTTGTGCATTCAGCTCAGCATCATCATGTTGGGGAAGCAGCTCATCCAGAACAACATTTTCGAGATTGGCATCCCGTAAGTCGACTGTTTCATTATCCTCACTGTTAGAGCCTGGAATTCCAGATTAGGTAAAGAGGAAGTGTGAAAAGCAACTGATTTTTCTGTGATCCCTAAAAAGCCTGTTATCCGACACAGTTTAATCACACTTTAGTGTTTTTTGTGCAAAGCCCTAAGGTCAGAGATCAGGTTTGTTTATAACAACTGTCACACAAACTCTGACCTCGGGCTGCTCTGTTATTGCTACTATACTTAAAGATTAACCCCTTGGCCTGTAAGGTGAGGCCCATCAAACGTCGTGGTGTGAGGGATCAGTGAACTACGACACAGACAATAAGACCAATAACACCATCCGCATTCCACTGGCTGATCGGCTTCTCCCTTTCACACCTTGCAGCTTTCCCGTCTGGGTGGTGCCCAGTAATGACTCCCTTCACTTAATAACAGCTGCTGAGCATTTTTATGGGCAATTTGAGGCATAGCTCCTATTGAAAGCTCAAAGCTCTGCTCTACAGTCAGAATGGGATATAAAGAACCCTATTGACCTCAGAGTAAAACCCAATAAACCTGGAAACATCAGAAAATGATCCAGTCTCTGGGGAAAAATCTGGATTGAAACTGTAAAAAAATACTTAACTAAAATCTAATTGACCATATTAATCAACATTTCATCAACTATCTTGTAGTCATCTACCTAAATGTTAAGATAAATATCTATTATTTATTAATCTAAGCTTTTATCTCTTTTATACATCCCTGTTGTATTGATTTTTCAAGCAGAAAGTAATTATTTAACTGCTCAATGACCAAGAACTCAAGTAAGCTACAGCTGTAATATACAAACCTATTTTTTTTTAAAAATATATCATGAATCTTTCTTCTGGGTTGGGCCGTTCCCCGGAAACAGCAGCTTCCCAGGAGCCGTATGCTTCACAGCCCAAACAAGGGGAGGCGTGTTCTCCAGGCAACTGAGTTCTAGTGGGCTGAGCCTGTACATCCTCCCAAAGAGGATTCATGTCTGTGGAAAATGAACAGGATCAACACTCTGAGCATCTCTGCATGACAAAAGCAGAAAAGAAAACACATTTACATGTCAGTCAGACCAAAACCACACTTCACTTTCTGTCTCCCGTCGTGGGATAAAGGGCTCAAGGCCAAGCTACATCTTTAAAAAAAAAAGAAAAGTTTTAAATACAAAAAAGATCTGAGGGTCTAATGAATGGATGAATGGACGGATAGTAGATAAAATCCTCCCAAATCGAAGCTCTCACAGGCGGACTCACAGACCCACAGCTGCACACGCTCTTAGCTTTACTGGACAGCTTTAAAAGCTAATTCACTGCTCAGTGCCGTGGAAATGTTCTAACTGGAAGACGTCCAGTTCAAACAAGCTGAAAGGGGACATATCACCTCCTGCCATCGTGGTCTCAGACCTACTTATGGCTAATAACTACATTCTACTCCATTGCATGTGTACCAGGACAAATACAGCGGGGCAGTTCGGGATTTATCGGGATGGCCTGTAATCATTGTTCAGTTCCGTGTTTCTAAATGTATTGATTATAGAAATCTCAGTTGTGTGTAACTCGGTTCCCTGTGAGGACATCAGGGCAGAAAAGATGAGCATCTGTGCCTACTGAGACAATCTCTAGCTGTATAAGCAACTTCAGTTGTGTCATAGTTATGTCAGAATATTAAAAATGGCAGTGTGATTGCAGTATTTCAAACTAACCTGGCCCGTTTAAGCTAACTTTTGGTACTTGAGCTTGGCAGTTGCCATATAAAATCAGTTCACCCTCTTTATATGTTGAATAGCAAGCCTAAATTTTTGTCCTTTGTCCATTTATTCTGACTAAGAATTAACTAAGTGCAGTGAGGGCATTACACTTGGGGGAAGAGAGATGAAGAACAGCTATTGATACAAGGTTCTTGCCATTTTACAATGTTTTTTTTTACAGTGTTTAAACAAAACTCGACAGCCAGATACAGAGTTTAAATCTTAGAGGGAGTAAAAATGAATCTATGCCCGTTTAAATTCAGAACAGCCACAAATTCTTTGTCTCCCACCACCAAATCACTCAATGCTAGTGATTTCGCCTAGTGGAGAAGCTCGAAATCAGTTGTTTCCAAAAGGAAAGTGTTCATATCACAGTGTTGTGTGCATTTAATTTGCCGTCAGTAGTTTTTACAGGAAAATCACACAGTCGCAGTTGCGTGACATGCTGCTTTGAGTAGCTGCTTTGTCCAAGCTGGAATTAGTCATTTTTGCGAATTGTAAAATATTAGGGCAGGTTGTCTTACCGGCCTCCCATCTCCCCCTCTACCTTTAATACAGGAAGCTGAAAAAGCTGATACGCGCTTTGAAGGAGAAGAAATCGCCGAAGGAGAAGGACGAAGAGAGACAGCCGAAGCAGTGGAACCTGGACTACGCCCTGGCTCCCTTTGAGGGCCTCACGCCGGAGTACATGGAGATGAGTGAGTCCGCATGAGCACGCAAAGAAAAAGAAAGAAAAAACAGCCACTTAGGCATCAACATACTTTCAGGATGAGTATCCCTGAACATCACTAAGATGTGTTATGTAATTTGGCGGACTCTCGGTGCCAAGCACGCACACTTGGACTCAAGTGGACTGTGCTGAGTCCAGGAAGCTCTGTAGTACTGTTTGGACACCGTCCTCTCACAGCCTGTTGAGACTGCTGTCATTCATGAGAGTAAAATCTGAATGAGAAGAAATCGGGGTCGTGGATAATGTTTTCCCAAATGAGCCAAGTTTGTATCCTGTTTCTTTTTAATTGTCAGCCTACACACACACACACACACACTCGGCATGTAAAAAGTCACAATATTTTCATGTCGGTCAGAAGCCAGAATGTAAACACACTCAACTACATGCATACATTTTTCCTTCGTGGATAATATTTCTCAGCTGTGTGCATAAAAACAAACATAGTTTTGAGTTTTATTGAAGGACATCATGGAACTGGAAAATAAGAAGTGACATTGTTTTAGAAATACTTTGGGTTTTGTTCAATGGGACACTCATCTACATCACTTTGTAGTTCTCATCAGGATAGAAAGTACTTTATAGCAAAGTATGCAAATCAAAGCAAGAAGCACAAATCTTAGAAAAAATAAAGAAAATTTCTCCAATGCCAACCTGTAAGATGGGGACTCCGGTATCTTCCACAAAGTACATTAAATGGAATTATAATGATAGATTTCAAAGGGAATCCTGACTGGGATTTTGTTCCAGGGCTGAGATTTCGGCATTTTAAACCATTGCCATTTCAAAATCAGATCAGGCTTAATTCTACAGCTCATTTAAAAACACAACACATAACTGCTCAAAGAACTGAACCAGCAAAACCACTCTTGAACAAAAAAAACAATTCAAATAAAAAACGCTCCAGTAATAACAGTGAAGCATGGTGGTGGTAGCATCATGCTGTTGTGCTGTTTGAAACAGGTTCGATTAGACTAAAAGAGTCACAGATGGTGCTAAACAGACATTTTTGAGGAACACCATTTCTAGTCTAGGTCAAATATTCAAGGAAAGCAGCATTTAGCAAAACATGTTAATGAGCGATAAGAGGCTGTAAGTGTACCTGCTTTATTACTTAGATTAGGAGTCTGTCTTCCCAGTTGCATGATCCCGGTAGACATAAGAAGAATCTGGATTATACTGTATGTAAGAAGGACACAAAAACATAGAAAAACATAGATTAAATTTAAATTAATCTAAGATGGTACCATTAGCAAAAGCTAGATAATTGAGCTTGAGAAAAAGACTACATGATCTAAACAGCATTTTGTTGTTCTGGTAAAAAAAAAGGGTTAAAAAAAGCTGAAAGGAGGATCATGGATCATTTTTCGAAACATTTGAGAAATGTTTAAAGGAAACCAGAAACAGCGGGCGTCGGTTTCCCCGCTGCCTCGTCGAGAGGACGGCTGACAGGGCCCCACAGCTTGACGTCTTTGATCATTTTCCCCGCGTTCGGCCCGAGTCAAAGTGTACCGCGAGTTCAGCCTCACGGCGGTAGACGAACATCTGCAGGTGAAAGTGCGCGAACCTTAAATCAGACCACTCCGAAGCATGACCCCCCGGGACGGGGGAATGAATACAGATTTGCTGAAATCTCCGGAGGGATGAAACAGAAAACACAAAAAAAACTACAGTTTCACGTCTTTGGGTCCTCGTTGGTCTTGTCTGTGCTTGTGTGGAAACCCTGGTGTGAAAGGGGGTCGAACCCGTCAACCTCGGCTCAGGTGCGGTTGGCGGGGGTTATTCTAAGCTTGCCCTCTGGCGCTCGCCCTCGCCCTCCCGTCGTATTTTTTCTTCCCCCCCGGCCGCTCATTGTCTCCGCGCGGCATCCCGAGGTGAAGCTGTCAGTCTCCGGCTAGCTGGAAACCCCCGTTCCCACACTGCTAAAGTTCCACTGTTCCGATCGGGCCCGGGCACCAGCCACAGTCAACCGCGGTGTGTCTCTCTCTCTCTCTTTTTCTCTCTCTCTCTCTCAGGTTTCTTTTTCACATTCTTAGGAAGCAGATGGATTGATCACTAACCAACGCACCTCTGCTGCTCACTTGTCTCGCTGGATTCACTTTGGTTTGGTGATCCGCGAATCAATGTGTGAGCGACCATCCTATCAAAGTGAAGGATAATAATCTGTGACACAAGGGGCTTTTTTAATTGACACTTTCGCATTTCAAATGTTTCACTGCTCCACATTCAAAACTTTGTTCGACAAACATGGTCCAGATAAACTTTTGGTTTAAAAAAATATACATATTTGACTGAAACCTTTCTAATTCTAATCGTACAACGCAAGACAAACGATTTTTTTAAGACAGTTGATGTCTCGGAGGGTCACTGTTCAGAGGATCACGTCTAGATTTTCCCAAGATTCTAACCCCCAAGTTGAATTATTATTTATATATAGATATATATGAATAAAAACAACCAGCGACATACACTGTGAATAATACTTTTTTTGAATTGCTATACTAGAGTTGGCGACATCTTTGGATTTTGGATGTAATCCATTATTACTGTCATTGTACAGTATAGTTTTTCATGTTTACACAGAGAAAAATCCTCTATCTTGATAAATACCTTGCATTTATTGAAACTTTTTGTATTTTTTCCTCTCTTCCCGCAGTCATCCAGTTTGGGTTTGTCTCCTTGTTTGTGGCCTCCTTCCCACTGGCCCCTCTCTTTGCCCTCCTGAACAACGTCATTGAGATCAGATTGGACGCCAAGAAGTTTGTAACGGAGCTGCGAAGGCCAGTTGCGGCTCGGGCTAAAGACATCGGTGAGACGACAGAGATTCCGAGTTCTTTCCGTTCTCAAACTTAGATAAATCGTTTTGCAGTGTCATTTAGAATACAAAGCAGCTCCTCCTTCAATTCTTTATATGTATGATGTCACAATTTAAAAGAACGTATAACATCAAAGCTAGCTAATCTGAGACCTGGCTGTTTAAATTCCTCTCAAGTTCACTGGAGATCCAGTCAGGGAGGCAAGTTTACAGCTCATTTACAAAATGACAGCCCTTAGGTTTAGGGTTAGGAGGGAGGAATTTACAGCATGTTATAATAAACTATAAATAACAGGGTTAATAGAACAGGCTAGCATTTAGTTGAGCTTAACATCATGGCACGTGAGGCCCCTGAACAAAGCATGCTACAAGAATTGTCATAAAAACAATCAAAACATTTTTTATACATCCTCTAATGGTGAGAGCTTACACAGAAAATGCTCCAATTAAACATTCAATATAAAAGTCAGTCATGGTAAACACACATATGCAGAGTAAACACAAGGTATTTTTACACAGTTTGTATGATTAGCAGCTCATGGTTGCCAGTTCATTTGTGACTGATAGCTGCAATCCTCTATTCTTAGCAGATAGTCTTTTATCACTTTAGTTGACCTCAATACCCAAGTCATCCTAGTGTAAGCATAGTCCTTCTAGAGCCTTCTAGAATTTCTTAACTTCATATCGACTATAAAAGCTCTGTTAATTTTTTTTCTCAATCTGAAGCCTGGCCTGATAAGAGTAGATTTCCATACAGCTTTGCTCTTCATTCTTGCAAATTAGTTTCTTTGTTACTTTAGTTTTTGCTTTATTTTTTGTCTTAAACGTAAAGTCAGAGCTAAAGTCAAATATGCGAGATGAAAATACAGAGAAAAAAAAAAGTACCTGAATTGGACCAGCTGAATAACAATGCTGAGGCATGACATCAACAACATCTGACCGTTACTCATGTCTGTTCGCATTCCTACGTACAGTAAACAACGTTTTCGACTGAGTGAAAGCTCTTTGTGTGAGTCAGGCCTTGGCCTCCCATATATACTTATTTGACAAAGTCAGATATTGACCCCTGAAAATAAATCTTCTTAAACACTGGGGCCAGATTTGTTCCAGTGCATTGGGCAGATACGGTTTAATATTTTCTTACGTTATGTAAGAACGCATTGAGACAATATTCGGGAGGTTAGGGTCCCAGTGTGCACATAAAGAAGAGCCTCAGCGTACAAGAGACAGCTTTAGAGGGATGAAGATGCTCACAAGACGATTGTGGGAGAAAAAAGAGAAAAACACCGACTTCCCAGAACTCATCCTACCATGTCTGCTCCACATTCTTCACCACTCAGAATAAAACCGATTTAGCCATCACGACAATGTTTAAAAAAAATTCATTCAGGCGTTCTTGATCCTCCGAATCCTTTGGAATTGCGATGACCTTCGCTAGCAAACAGATTTAAAGTCACGGTAACTGCATTTCCTCTTTTTGCCCCCCCCCCCTTCTTCTCCCTACAGGTATATGGTACAACATACTGAGTGGAATGGGCAAACTGTCAGTCATTATAAACGTAAGTATTGAAGCAAAGTCCTGCATTTCACTAACTTTTAGCCTGAAGTGATGAACGCTGTTCTCCATTTTAAGTGACAGTCCCAATCACTTTGAACATCGAGTTGAGTCGTACAAACTGACCCAATGACACGAGCTACTCTGAATTCACCCTCTGTCAAATGTTAGCATGCAAAACCTTTAAGAAAGATTAACTGGAAAAATAGCAGAAAACTGTTACATGATGATAGTAACAGCAGGATGTCAAAGAAGGATATAAACATTTTACTGGTACTTGCATGGAGCAAAATTATGAGCACTTATGATGCAATGGTAGAGGTTTTTTTTTTTTCAATTTCTAAACTGGTGCTTGTGACCGACCACATTAGGGAGTTTTCCTTTCCACAGTCTCCCCGTGCACACTTAGGATGTAGATGGAGGTGCTGGTTTTTCTTAATTAGGAGCACTTTTTAATTAAGGAGCCATTTTAAAAATGTTTTAACTTGAACTTATTGGATTTTGATTGTATTAAAATGAATTGTATTCTAATTGGGTTGTATTTTTAGAGTGCCTGTCACTTTAATGTGTAATCATCGAGAATGTAAATCATGTGAAGAGCATAGTTTCATCTTGGGAGGTTTTTAAAGTGCCAAGAGACATGATTTGGTGCTCTATGAATACATTTAAATAGAATTGAACAATGGGTTCCCAGCTGATTAGATGTGTGCCTGGATAAGCGTTCCATTCAAAATCAGAAAAAAATGTATGGGGACATTGTTGCTAACCACAAGGATTACCATAAATTAGCTCAGGCTGAATAAAAATCTTTTATTCATAGTGTCCCAAGATTAAGAAGAATTGATAAATTCTTTCCAAATTTATTAGGAAATCAAAGGAGTACTGGCATGATTTCTTTTGTAAACCCTTTTTAACTAGAAGTGCCCCCTCTGCTGGCAAGCAAAAATAATGCATGTTTCTATAAAAATACAAAAGTTTGTACAAAACTTTGTGTTGCGGCAGATCAGTGCAGTTCAGTTGGGTTCATGGTAGATTCCATTAAAACTGTGAATAAACAAGACATTTGACTCTTGACCCTGCCATCCTCGTGTTGTGAAAACGAGACAAAAGATTGTAGGGTTTAGAAACAACTGATAAAGTAGCGGCAAAGACATCAAACAAACTTGGTTTTCCAAGTTGGAACACCAGATTTAGTTATTTCTGCTGTGTTTGTGCCCTGTTAGGCGTTATAGAGGCGATTCATGACGCAAATGACTAACAAAACAAATAAAGATTGCGATGGGCGGCACATCAGAAGCACATTAGAGGTGCTAACTTGTGGAGGTTTTTATTCCGTTTGTGTGCTGGACACAGGAAGGTTTTGCTTGGGATTTGTCATCCTTCCCTCCAAATAAATCCTGCCCAGTTTACTTTTAATAGTGAAGGGATTTCGAAAGGATTCCAAAACAAGGAGAAGAAGTTTGTTTATTCAGAAGTTATGGGAGGATTAGGCTTCTATTCTCACACTACAGCTTCTGTTCATCTGCTAACTTTCAGTTAGCAGAGAGCCAATACAGAAATAAACTCCATTCATATCTGTCTGAGATACTTAGCTACTTTTAAAACTGTGTTTTTGACCCATAATAAAAGTGAAAAGAAAGATAAAATGAAGTTAGTTTAAATTTTTTTGGCATGGCAACCGCTTAGGATGCCAAACATTGGTCATTTTTAAAATTTTCTATGTTCTTAATGTTACAAAAATGACCTGATAAAGGATCCCTCCTACCCATTTCATCCATGCCAACGGGTTTCAGCCCAAGATATTCTTGTGTCTTTGTGATTTAAAGAAAAATCCCAGGTCATTTTCTCATTTTTTCATTCTTCTTAAGGCATTTGCCTCTAACCGAACAGGTCGTGGTGGCGGCCATTCAGGATAACCAGTCAGAACATTCTCACGCTCTAGGGCCCCGGTGTTCCGTTTTTAACTCCTTCTCTTAGACATCAGTGAACTGAATTTTGCTGTAAACAAGCTATAGTCCATCATTTACAATCACAACAGACTCCCAAACAGATGCTGTGTTCGGCATAGCTTTAGAAAAATAGTTAGAAAATACTGTATTTCTCTAAGTTTTTCTTTATTTTTCTTTATTTGACTACTTCTTATTAGTCATAATTTTACCTAACAGAGACACCGTTCAGAGCACTCACATCACGGAGTGTAAGATTGTTTATAGATGCTATTAACACCAGGGGAGCTTAACCAGGGAGTTTAATAAACCACAGAAGGTCCTGTGAAGCAACACACCCCCCAATTTCAACACGACTTTGTAGAATGGACCCAGTCCGCAACTGCATGAAGCAAAAGTTAGAGCAATTGTAGTTGCAGCAATGCAAAGTGCCATTAAGGAAAAAACAGGGTCATTTAAGATGTTTTGGTTGCTGAGAAAAAAATAAGCTCTTATTATTTCCTTTCTAAATGGTTTTTCAGCTTTGGTGAATTATTTAAAAAAAAACTATCTGAGTCTCTAAAGTGAGACTCCAAACCACAAGCAAGCAATGCCATTACAAAAACAACTTTGGTGAATTTATTCACGTATTTTTGTGCCCGATTATCAGACAAAACGTTTTCATTCGCTCTTTCTGTCCCAGGCCTTTGTGATCTCCTTCACGTCGGACTTCATCCCTCGGCTCGTCTACCAGTACACGTACAGCCAGTCGGGCACCATGCACGGCTTCATCGACCACACGCTCTCCTACTTTAACGTGTCCCATTTCAAGCCCGGCACGGCGCCGCAGAACTCCGAGCTTGGGGACATCACCGTCTGCCGGTAAAACACACACTCATACACACTCCTAACACCCCCGGTCAATTAGACGTGGGTTAAGTTCATCATTGTTGTGAGCGGCATCCCCACATCTGACAAAAAAAAAAAAAAAGCTTCCAGGGAAATGTGCACTCACTTTTTATTTTCCCAAAAAGTACAGATTTTTTTTGTTTTTTTTGCATTCAGGGTTCAGTGAATATAAGTTGTCCTCTTAAGATTTGAAGCACATATATGTACTATTCCATTTCATCATTTGTGTTAAAAATGATTATTTTCAGTCTAATATTTTTTCATTTTTAGTCTCCTAGGTGACGACCATCATACGTTTTCCGTTTTTTTTGCCTGGAAGAATCCCTGCTTATTTCGGAAAGCCGACTTGGATGGGTCCCAAATCCTTCATTTCATTAGAATTTTATAAGTTAACGAACTTTTTGAGTTGTCATCTTGGTCCCCAGCTCTTAACCCACTGTATGTATGCGCGTGTGTCTGAGTGTGTGCGTGTGTGTGTGCGTTGTCAACGCATACAAACGCACCTTCATTCAAACCCTTCTCCCATTTCGAGTCCACAAAGATGTTTATGTTTACCCGCCGCCACGGACAGTGCACGGCTGTGTCCTCTCCGCATCCTAACAATGCCAGTGGCAAGAATCCGTTTCATAATGCCCATCTAAAGCCGGGTCTGAGAAAAAGGTCGCATGCACTCGGCACCCACAGACAGCTGAGGCCGACCTGCCATTACATAACACAACCCGGACGCACAACGCAAGAATGCGGCCTTTGTGGTCGGACGAAAGGCCGGCAGAAATATGACGAGACGCTCCGCGCCCCTGGCGCTTATTAGGCGTGAAATCGGGTGGGTGACCGGCCCAAGAATGGCGTTTTGTGTGTCGCTTCTCGGCTAAAGGCGAACCATCGAGCTCAGTGTGTCAAATTCCTCCTGCGGTCGGTGTTTTTTATCGCCCCCCCTCTGTCTTCTCGGCCGGAGTCGTGGGGATGAAGACGTGTGATAAATAGGGAGGAGGAGATGTCGAGAATGGATGAACGTTTACGTCACACAGAGGGCTGACAAAGAAGGGATGTTCCCCTTGAGAAAAGCCATCAGATAAGAAAAAAACGCCAAAGAATGAATCTTTTTTTTTTTTTTTTACAGCAACTGAAAGATCTAGCAGGAAGCAAAGAGACATGAACGGAGGAACACAGCCACCGCAGTTTGACGGATGGATGGTTGAATGAATAGGTGGTGTGAGAAAAGCCCATGATCGGGGGTTTTTGAATATTTTATCACGTTTAAAAACGGCAGTGCAGGAAACAGGAAAAGAGTTTCTATGTCAGTGGGCAGATCAGCACTCCACACCTCTGCTCCGTGACATCCACAAAAGTGGAGTTTTCAAAAAGAAACCCTGCTTGTTGGGTTCACGCGTGACACCGTTACAGTTTTCGGCTAAACGTTAACAATTCTTGGACATTCTTTTTAAAAACATTTTCAGCGGTCGTGTCTTTTTCCTGTAAGATTCTAATATAAAAAATGTACTCAAAGTTATTTTACTTTGATATATCTCTAAAGGTTGACCCATTTTACCCAAACTATATTCAAATATGCTCTATACTCACATTCAAAAAAGTCCGATGTAAAGATGATTATGCCCTTTTTTAACAACTCATATGGTCTTAATGAAACGTCCTAATACGTTTTTTTCTAAATAAGACACAGAGACTACTGTGATTATATTTTTTTCCCATCTATGCTATAACATGGTCATTTTAGAGCCTGAAGTGACCCACTGGACTTGGTCGAGACCTTATACAACCAAATAAATGCTTTCAAGCACGGAATTAATTAAATTTTTTCATAATATACATCCTATTAATAAAGGACAGATCCTTTTTGACAATATCTGAGTAGAATCTACATCTAATCTAAGTCCCTCAGAAGTCTCTTAGAATAAAAAAAAAAAAAAAAAGACTATGTCACGACAAAGTTAGAACTTTCTTTAATGCAGTCGGTCTAAATGTCAGAGGGAGGTATTGGCTATGCCAAGTGTCAGAACTGGGTGAAAACAGTGGCACCGGTTGCCCCAGGAGCTGCAGTTTCTGGAAAGATTAGAGCGATTAAAACTATCAGGTACCTAGAACAAGCGCTGTCCATCTGTCAGCCAAGTAGGCGCTTACTTACCGACGTCCAGCTGGCTACTTGCACATTTTGCCCTATTTAGTCCTCTATTCAGCCGGGGGTTTATCCTTATAGATAGAAAATCCTCACCTTTTTTTTTTGTGTGATATGTCATGTTTCGGATGCATAGGATTTTAAAACTACCTATCCATCTCAGCATCTTTCCCTTACTCTCCTCTGTACTTTTCACCTCCCTCCTGTAACAAGAACCTCCAGGAATTTCCCCCTTTTTCTCCGCATTTGACGCTACCCAATTGAAAGTATTGCTCTATAAATTAGTTGTTCGTTCGCACAACAAACACAAACTGTCACCTGACACTAATCGTGTTCTGTCAAGAAAGGGTGAGTTTGTGTAAGTTTGAAAAAAAAAAAGAAAAGTTTTTAGTTGTTGTTAGGATGGGAATGGTTTGACCCTTGTTTATCTGTAGATTTATTCCAGGGTCCCTGGAGGCCCAGTACTGGCAGCAGTCGCTCTCACGAGCACGCACGTACACACAAATCTTTCATACCACCCATAAAACCATAATCTCATTGAGAGGTCTTATGAAAGAATATTGAGTTAGATGCTCCAGTTGCTGTGCCTCTCCTCTATTATAACCAAACATGGAGCGTCTCGAGAAACTAAATGCTTCTTTTTTTTTGTTTGTCTTCCCCCTATTGTAGAATTACATTTTATATGTTACTCCTCCGGGACTATTTAAGTGCAATTGACATGAACGTGACAGAAGGGGAGGCGTCGTTTAAGGGGTTAAGTTCACATCCAATGCTAGCCCGCTACAAAATCCTGTAAAGTATTGTTGAGCAAAAGATGATTAGATCAAAGAAGGAAAAAAAAAGAGGGAGGGAGAAAAGAGAAGAGCTTACACTCTCAAGCAGCATTCCTCACTCATGACTGTATAAGGAGAAGGAATCGGCCATCATAAGACCCTGCAAGCACACATGCACAATGCACACACACACACACACACACACACACACTTCCTCCTCCCCCCGTGTTGTTTCTATACTGTCAGTGTTAAACTCTTTCAGAGTTTCCTCAATTTTGGCTTCAGAGGAATTTTTTCATGACACGCGTGGACGGAGAATGACTCATTATGCGGTGGAAAAGTGAAACTTCGATCCGAGCCGTGGCGTTAATTTGACATGTGAAGACGCTTTTCGAATTGGACGTTTCCTGTTCTCAATCTTCCACCCGCTCTCCCAGTGAAAGACGAAAAGATTTGGCATCAATCAAAAAAAAAGAGACAAAAATAAAACAATTGATTTGAACCGCTATGCGTGAAATGTGAACAAATGTGACAAGTAACAAGTTCAAAAGGGTTGTTTTGCTTGTTCCTAACCCTAACCAGTTTTTTTTTCATCTAAATACACAACACATAAGTCACTTTGTTGAAAGTTCAAATAGCTTTCCATGACAATAATTTACCGTAGTTATATTATCTTCTATGACCCACTGAAACAGACAGGAAAACTCACCCCCAAACCTCCAAAATTCGGCTTTCCCACTTGTTTAAACCATTGCCATGGTAATTTCTGAAAATAATAATAGTTTTTCAATAGGGATTTTTGTGTTTAAAGGCAAAAAAAACAGTCCTAATTACATAAGCCCTTTTTATATCTTGACAAATCCTTCATTTGAAGACCTATAGAACACACTTTGTCATATCTGTCTTGTTTTGTCTTGTTTTTAGGGAGGCTATTCATGTATTCTCTCATTATTTTTACCTGGTCTTTGCTATGCTGTGATGTCTTTCTCCATGTCCCATACGCACTAATCTGAATCAACACTGGTTGGAGGAGGGCTCTATAGATAGCTAAGGCTTTACAATGCAGCTCTTTGTCCAGATCACATTCATTACGTTTAGAGGATGCATTTTCTGCGTTAAGATCCTCTCAAGCTCAACAATGAGAGCGACTGTCTCCCAGGGGCTGCTTTGAAAAGAATGCTGTATGTTGTACTTTACATCCCACAGAGAAGTTCGGCCTTTTCCACGTCCATGAAGCTGAAACCATCTCCAGAGCCCAGCGCTGCTAGGTTGTTCTCTGTCTGTTTGCATAACCTGCAACTTAACACTAACATAAGTATTTTTGGTCAGAACTGTTTCCCTGCTGCATGACAGTAATTTTTGTGTCAGCACACACTTACTTTTGATTGTATTTTCATTTTTGGCATGCTTCCATTTTGACACAATCTCTCTCTCGTCTCATTTATCCACATCTGACTAACCTCGTTCAAGTTGCCACAGTAGATACTAAAGTAGAATGCGTCTGACAGGAAACCACTGGGTCAAACTTCTCCATCCACTGGGCTATGCACCACAAATGATTGAACACAAAGCACACAATAAGTAGGCTTCCCTTAACTCCTATTGTACGTGAAGACTCTCCAAAAATAGATAATCTTTTGATCTTGCATTACCCATGATGATCAGCGGAGGAAATGATTGAAACCGTTTTTTTTGTTTTCTACCCCATATCCTGGACGACTTGTATCCGACTCTTTTCAGGTATTATTGGAGCGCTATTTCCAAACCAGAATGAAAAAAATAATGTTTAGAGTTGAAAAATGGCATCTTTAATTGAGAAAGTAAAAAAAAAAAAAAAGATTCTTCTGCACACATTAGTACACATCTTCTCTATTTCCCCTTTTTGCCATAGTATTTATTTATTTTCTTGTCTTTTCATCCTTTCTTCTCTCATTGGACTGACCACCATGTGTTTCACGTTTATTACAGTTTATTTTGCAAGAACAATAAAGAGTGTTTACTACAAAGAAAGCAGAGGGAAAGAATCCAAATAAAGTTTATGGCCCTTTGACTACAGGGCTGAAACTGATGGGTGGAGCGCTTGGTTTTAATGAGCCTCAGTCTCAGCCAGGTGAAGATACTAAATCAGATTAGCCACATATACAGGGGTTGGACAATGAAACTGAAACACCTCTCATTTTAGTGTGGGAGGTTTCATGGCTAAATTGGACCAGCCTGGTGGCCAATCTTCATTAATTGCACATTGAACCAATAAGAGCAGACTGTGACGGTCCAATTAGCAGGGTAAGAGCACAGTTTTGCTCAAAATATTGCAATGCACATAACATTATGGGTGACATACCAAAGTTCAAAAGAGGACCAATTGTTGGATCGCGTCTTGCTGGCGCATCTGTGACCAAGACAGCAAGTCTTTGTGATGTATCAAGAGCCACGGTATCCAGGGTAATGTCAGCATACCACCAAGAAGGACGAACCACATCCAACAGGATTAACGGTGGACGCAAGAGGAAGCTGTCTGAAAGGGATGTTTGGGTGCTAACCCGATTGTATCCAAAAAACATAAAACCACGGCTTCCCAAATCACGGCAGAATTAAATGTGCACCTCAACTCTCCCGTTTCCACCAAAACTGTCCGTCGGGAGCTCCACAGGGTCAATATACACGGCCGGCCTGCTATAGCCAAACTTTCGGTCACTCGTGCCTAAGCCAAACGTCGGTTTCAATGGTGCAAGGAGCGCAAATCTTGGGATGTGGACAATGTGAAACATGTATTGTTCTCTGATGAGTCCGCTTTTACCATCTTCCCCACATCCGGGAGAGTTAAGGTGTGGAGGAGCCCCAAAGAAGCGTACCACCCAGACTGTTGCATGCCCAGAGTGAAGCATGGGGGTGGATCAGTGATGGTTTGGGCTGCCGTATCATGGCATTCCCTTGGCCCCATAGTTGTGCTAGATGGGCGCGTCACTGCCAAGGACCATTCTGGAGGACCATGTGCATCTAATGGTTCAAACATTGTATCCTGAAGGAGGTGCCGTGTATCAGGATGACAATGCACCAATACACACAGCAAGACTGGTGAAAGATTGATGAACATGAAAGTAAAGTTGAACATCTCCCATGGCCTGCACAGTCACCAGATCTAAATATTATTGAGCCACTTTGGGGTGTTTTGGAGGAGCGAGTCAGGAAACATTTTCCTCCACCAGCATCACGTCGTGACCTGGCCACTATCCTGCAAGAAGAATGGCTTAAAATCCCTCTGACCACTGTGCAGGACTTGTATATGTCATTCCCAAGACGAATTGACGCTGTATTGGCCGCAAAAAGAGGCCCTACACCATACTAATAAAGTATTGTGGTCCAAAACCAGGTGTTTCAGTTTCATTGTCCAATCCCTGTATATATATATATATATATATAGTCCGAAGATCTTCTGTTCTCTGGGTCTGAAAAAGTGAAACCTAAGTTTATTTCCTGACTCCATTTTCACTGTATGCTCTTTATTCTTGTGTGTTTTGTTGTAGGTATAAAGACTACAGGGAACCCCCCTGGGCCTCAGATGCCTACCAGTTCGCTAAACAGTACTGGTGCGTTCTGGCTGCACGGCTGGCCTTTGTAATATTATTTCAGGTACAAAATCTTTTTATTTATGTGTTTCACAATTGCATTGACCTTGTATATGTACAGTATGTGTGTGTGTGTGTGTGTGTGCGTGCGACAGTCCAAATATAGTAGACCATGTGGTGCTTGTTGTTGTGATCGGAAGTATTTCCAGACGCTTCAGCCAGTTTGTGAACATCTGTTTTGTTGTGTGTCTGCACGCCTCACTAGCATGTGTCAGCCAAATGGCCGTACAACGCCGAATTCTGCTGGGGAGGTTTGGTCCATCTTTGCTGGTTAATACTGACACAATGAAAAAGCAACCAAAGTGCGTCGGTCCTTAGTCAATCAAGGTTGCTATGGTTCCAGAACTACTTGCGATAGATGAATTACTGACTCCATATCTATTTGATTACATCTATTTAAACACTTCCTATGTTCATCAAAACCTTCTACACTTAAACCTCTATCTATATCAAAATATAACATTTTAGATGGATACTTGGTTGCCTCCCATTCATCTACCCAGTGTAGCATGTACTATTTCACTTCTTTTCTATCTGTATCATTCCGTTCAAATATTTTCTTCAGCTACCATCAGCTAGCACGCTAATGGCTAACATAGCATAACATAAAATTCTTATCTTTGTAAATGTTTATCTTGACTGAAATAGTGTACACACTTTAACTATCGGTCTTATTAGAGTTTAATTTAATTCTTGGTTTAAATTGACAATAAGGTGGGAATTTTTTGAGACTGGGCAATGCATTATAGCCATCTTTAGACATCGAGGAGCACTTATAATGACTAAGGCGGTTGACGTAAAAATGTAGAAGATGTGTGTACAAATATAAGGTCTTGTTTTTAAATTATCTGGTTCTGTCACTTGATTTGTGCTTGTGCTTGATTTGTATTGTCATTTGCACCAATTGCGATCCAAATTTCCCAGTTTCACCTTGTTTTTTTTGGTCCAATCTTCTCCCTACAGAACCTGGTGATGTTCCTCAGCCTCATGGTGGCCTGGGTGATCCCAGACGTTCCCAAAACCATCGTGGAGCAACTCAAGCGGGAGAAGAAGCTCCTGGTCAACGTGTTCTTACAAGAGGAGAAGGAGAAGTTCCAGCTCATCCAGAGCTTCTTCGTCAAGGACGCCACCCTCCACCCCAAAAACCCCGAGGACCCCCCGGGCCAGGCCTTCCCCGTCCTGGGCCGCTACAGCACGCTCCCCTCCGGCCAAACGGCCGGAGACGGGGGCCCAAGGGCCAGATGCAGGGCCGCCAGCTTCAGCCAGTTCAGCGGAACGCTCACCTCCTCACCTCAGAACGCAAACTCAAAACACACAGCGGTGTGAAAGGAAAGTTTCCACAGTTTGGGGGTGCTTCCGCCGGGCCTAAGGGCTCCGACTCCAGCGGCTCGGTCCACGTACGTCTCCGCCCTCGTCTTTTGGTGATCTGGCGCACATGACACAGCAGTGATCTTAGCTCTGGACTTCAAAACTCATACTCACCGATCCCAGAGGGGGTCAGTGTCGTCTACACAAGAATGAGTGTGTGTGTGTGTTAGTGTTATCCCTGCTAGCATGACTGTTCACCTGATAAAATGTTGGTATTTTTACTTTTTGGTAAAAATGAATTACTTAGTGAGGCACAAAAACTTAGCGTAGAGAAGCAATAAATACCATATTAGGCTGAATATTACAGGAACGTGGACGAACCGTAAACCCAGACGGGAGGATACTAAGAACTTAACAATCGCAAACAAAACGATGGACGTTGTGGCTTACCAGTAGGATCGTCTGGTCTGTATTTTCCTGCTTTACGTGTTGGGGCTCTTTACGTATTTTGTTTACAGATTTTTTGTAGCTTTTAAAATAGTCCGATTTTTTTTCTGTACTCTTTTCTCTCTTAGAATTCAGGAATCACTTTAACCATATTTCCAGACCTTAATGTAAAACTGTATTGTGACTGGAAATACTGCTGCTGGTCACTGGTTTTCAACAACCAACGCCCCGCTTCTCGACGGACGGAAAACATGCCAATGCGGCACTCCGGTGTGCTACGCACTTTTGCCCGAGCTGTAGTTTTTCGATGCGGTGGTCTGCGAAGCAAAAAAAACAAAACAAATGAAAGGAAACCTCTTATGAGCCATATGGACTCTACTGGCTGTAGAGTGAAGCTCTGAACACTCACTGGTAAAAAAAGGGAAGATAGGTTCTGATTGTGAGCGAGTTGGAAATGATCTCACTGTGTTTATTGTGAATTAAACAAAAATGAATCGGTATCGGAATCATTCTGACAAATACCTATTCCTATGGCCTTGACCGAATATATTAGCTTGCATAGAGTCACTTCGATGAGACAGTTATTACTAATGCGAGCAAACAGTTCATTTAGAACCTTTCAGCTTATTTCTTTGCCGAAAATATCTGTAGGAGAGTTTGATAACCAAACAGGAGATTTGAATTGCAGTCATTCAGTTATCACACAAAAAGGAACTGATAACGATCAGATAGAATGTCGAGCTAAGAAAAAACTGGTCGTAGCCGTGACACGTGGTGTTAGGGGGCGATAAATTATAGCCGGTGGTCAATTGGGTCCGAAATAAACAGGCAAGTGTGGGGATTTTCTGCTAGGTCGAAGCATCTTTTTGTACCGGTCAACTGCAGAGCGCCTATAGAAATGCCATCCATCCATCCACCGCATATTCCCTAATGGGGTCGGGGGAACTGGAGCCTATCCCAGTGGTCAATGGGCGAGAGGCCGGGTATACCCTGGACGGTCCACCTATAAAAATGTCCATCCATCCATCCATTATCAATACCCCTTATTCCCTAATGGGGTCGTGGGGAGAACTGGAGCCTATCCCAGTGGTCAATGGGCGAGAGGCCGGGTATACCCTGGACAGTCCACCAATAGAAATGTGACGGTGGTAATGGCAGCCAAGGCTTGTTGGTGTTATCAAAGAGAAAAAGGCTCGAAATGGAGATTTAAAAAAAGTTGTCCCAGCCACGAATGGTGTCACGGTGCCTATCCTTGCGTGTGTCCGTGTCTGTTGTTGAAAGTGCCTACGGCCATCAGGAACGAACCGTGGAGGAAAGTGTTCATTGCAGAGGCTTGGTCGTCGTTCTTTTCGCTGGCCTTTGGAAGTAGGACGTAGGAAGGGCAGTCTGTGCCGCTTACTACCATATTTAGCTCTGAAACACCCGGTTCTGTGATAGACGAAGATACTACCGCATCTATCTCGAAAACCCTAAAAAAAATGGTTGCTGACCCCATCGAGGAGTGCTGCTGGCCATAGCCTCGTTCAGAAGGACAATGCACTGTGGCTCAAAAGCAAATTCAGGAGCACGGAATCTTTGAGGAATCGATTTGGCCTTCGAATTGAACTGATCATCTGTAAGACACTCTGAAGATTCGTTGAGTGTCTGCCGGACTTTGAGGACTAAAAGGACCCGATATCGACGGTTTGAGTCAACATGTACTTTGTACATTCTTGTGCATTTTTGTTTCTCTTTTCATTTAGAATTAAGTAGGATCGCACTTGGAAACGAAGGAAAGTTTCACAAGTACAAATTGAGTTCAGAAAAGCATCTACTGTACTAAGGGGTCAACAGCTGGTCTCGATGTTCCAAAAACATCAAAGCTTTTCAGTGGCTAGCTCCATTGAAAATATTTTTAATAGTAGGGCTCTCCTAGATCTCTCAACAAATCCATACAGTGTACATGTGATTAAATCATGCAGGTGTTTTAAAAAATATTTCTTTTTAGAATTGACTATTATGAATGACTTATTGCATTGGGGACTTTATGACAATGATGCTACCATTGTGTAACGCCATCTTGGACAGACTGTTAGCCTCCCAACTTTCTTTTCATTTCAAAATACTAATTGTCATTACAATAGCGAACATTCAACTTATCCCGATATTTGTTGGGGTTAATTCTTAATCATGTTACAACCCTTCAAGGTTTTTATAATTAATATATTTTTACCTGATAAATACAGTTGTAATCTCCAGTTAGGAGCAATACAAGTTACAGGTATGCGGACATTTGCTGTCCTTTGCTAATGTCCGCACCTCTGAGTTCCTTTGTCAATGTTATTAAAACATGCTTAGTGCAATTTTTGATTTACAATTACTGGCAGAGCCAGATTACATTATTATATACAAATAAATTCTAAAAGAAACTGCAGCTGAAAGTGGTTGGTAAACCCATGCATTAGTCCTCTATTACAGTTTAAATAACAAACTGGGAAAATGTTAATGGAGAATTTTCAATTGGTGTTATAAAATGAATTAAGTCAGAGAATTCTTCCAAAATCACAAATCTAAGTTCAAACTTAACCGATTAAAAATAGATAAATAGAGGAAAGGGACCACCTGAAATGTCTGTTACCTGAATCTGTGATTTTATAGAGGATTGATCAGCAATGTGTACAGGTTTGGGAGAAATTTGTCCTGCTATTTAGACTCTAACATTTGAATAACCACATATTACAAGAGACAACAGACCCATAGTCCAATCTTGTCACCTCCAACAATATATTTAGCAATTTAATACACAAACTAAACATGGAAGTGTTGAGAATCAGTGTGTTATTTAATCGTGTTTTATAAAAAAAAAAGAAGAAGTGATTAATTTCCAAAATGTTGAAGTCCTTTGTGTCATGAGTTAAACTAAATATGAATATTTAGTTTAGATTTTAGTTTGTTTCTGAACCGCGTAATTTGAATTAGGCTTGAAACTCTCTACTGATGTGGTATATATGTCCTTAGGTTTAATCATAAGTCCAGTGGCCTAGTCGTGGTCAGTTGAGTGTCAGAGTTCGTCCTGTTGGTCAGCGGTCACACACACACCGTACCCTGTTCTCGTTCACTTGCCGACATGCTGTAAAACCCTCAGTACCATTTTTTGGATGCCTTGTGACTGCTTTTATTTACAATTCAGCGAAACTGAACTGTCTGTCCTCTCGGCGAGAACTCAGTGACAGACTGTTATCTTAAAATGTATTCAAAACGGACTTTAGGAAACTGTCATAAAAGTTATACTTTGTTATACAAGCTTATGTTGTTGATCCTTACCTTAAGCTGATGTATGCATTCCTAAATACAAAGTTGTCTGATGGATTACAAAATCTTTTTTTCTGTGTTGTTTCCCGCTGTTTTTTAAAATCTATTTAAATATTTTTCTTTTTTTCTTCCTTTTTTTTATCTGATAATGCTCTGATAATTGTTTTTATTGAGTATTTTTGTGTCTTAGACATATTTCCTTTTCTCCACGGTGGGCTGAATGTTCTTTTTCTATGATATGAAGTGAGGGAATAATAACATTCCTATTGTGTAGCCGACTTAAGCTAAAATCACAAAAGAAATATTAAACCAACTTGATGATATTTAGACTGTAAAACTATACTAGCGCACATAAGATTTACTGTCTCGTTGGAACAGCCGGAAATGTGTTTTTTCTTTTCTTACATTCTAGCAAAGGCCATAACAGAAGACAACAAAATAGAAACTAGCAATGGTCTGATTCCATCAATCATCAGCAGCCAATCCGAGGTCGGGTCATTGGAAAAAACGGTTCAGGAAACCCAAACTCTCCTGTATCCATGCGGCAACTCTTTCTGGTTTTCTTCCCCCCCGATTCACAATCTGTGGCATCTTTGTTACACACAATAATACAGGAAGTTGTAAAGGTTTTGTGATGGTTAAGATGAGTCTGAAATTGAATTTAAAAGAAGATGGTGTGTTTCATTACACCTATAATAGTGGAATTTTCCAGAAATAAGGAAAATGCTCTAGTGTATGGGTGTGTATGGGTTTTATATAGTGTAGCGTGTTGTTTTGAGGGAAAGAACTTGCTCTTACACATGCAATCGAGTGAGGACTTAATTCTAAAACGTAGCCACAGACAGTACGTAGATTACAAACTTAAAGAGTGTGATGAATTACAGCCCCAGCCCGCGTAAACAAAAGGCAATACGCATCCATTACGATAACATTTAGATCATAAACAACACCCGCTGATGAGTTCCCGCATGTTGCTTTTCGACCACAGGAGACGCAAACCTACAGAACATCCCGCGCCAGACGCAGAAAACTGAGTAGATTCACATCCAAAACTATGTTTGCTGTAATCCTAAATAGCCCTACATAAGAGGGAGAAATTAGGTTTTTCTAGAAATTATATAAATTGGAAGCACTTCCTCTTTTTTTATTGTTTAAATTATAGAATCTCCCCAGAGTTATTATGCAAAAATGAATTACTGTGATTACTTTTAGCATACCTAAGGCTACATTATTGAAATTAACAAAAAACAACAACTTAGAAGCACTTACTTTTTTTTTATTGTTTAAATGAAAGAATTTCCCCAGAGTTTATTATGCAAAAATGAATTTCTGTGATTATTACTAACGTATATAAGAGTCTATAATTTAAAAAAGCAAAAAAAAAAAACAATTTAAATATTTTTTCTTTTTGCTTCTTTGTTTTTTTGATGGGTAAAACCATTAGTAAATGACTTCCATATCACATCAGGAATACATTATATTACATTACACGCGTAGGGTAAGTGCACATTTTCATTGATTCATAAAAAAGTTTTTAAAAATTGGTTTGTTTGGAGGAAAATTCATAGACCTGATCTGCATGAGCATGCATTTGGACCCTTAAAAAATTATATTCCGGGAGTCACATTCCTGACAATTAGTGCTCTTTATGGGAATGGCCCTTCTTGTACAGCACACACGCCTTAATCTGATTTTAAAGCACATTATCGCAATTTTTCTATTTGTCAGTCTGATGTCTCTGTGTGATCCCCTGAGTGTATGGCATACACTCTTTCTCAAAAGAGGATTACATTGGCTGAAAGCCTGGGTCGATGTATATTAAAGCCTACGATAGAGCGACTTGGAAAAAACCCCGCAGCTCGGGACCAAAGGCACATAAATATTTGGATTTCTAGAGGCTTAACTTCAGTATGAGACGCAGACTTTAAGCTGATCACTGACCATGATGCAGTGGGTTGGAGGTAATTCTGGGAAAAAATACAGGATTATTTGGAATACACTTGACATAGGAAAAGTCCAAGTAGAGCCACACAAAAAAAAAATCAATTTAGGGCAATGAAAAAGGAAGTTTGATTTGAAGTTGTTTTAAAGTTTTACCATTTGTGAAATATTTGTGCAATTTAAAATTTAAGTGGGTGCCATTAGGAAGGTAGGAACTGAATAAACTCAGTATTACTTGGTCCTTCAGTTCTTTAAACAGCATACCTTTCCAGTCATGAAAATACCACTTTCTTAAGATCTTGAGTAAAAGCAACTGGACTTCTTGGATCTGAAAGTCTTCTAGAGTTCTGAACTACAGATTGGGGAGTATCAGCTTCAGAACAGAGGCATCAATACAGTTTCAAGTGTTTTGGATTTGGTTGAATCTTCCAATTTGTGAATCGAATCAAATTTATCCACATTATTCATAATTCTAAGATTTTTTTGCCCTTAAGTAAACATACCTTGTGTCAAAACATTTACTGAGTTTGTGAATGATGGTGTCATGATAGGACATACTCTCATGGAAGTTGCTATTGTGTTTTTGGGGCACTTTTAACTGTCCTGGGTCTTTATCAAACACAAGGATTGCCATTGTGTCAAAACAAGTACTGAAGAAAAATCAAACCTAATGGGATCTGGGATGTTTTTCCACTAATTTTTTGCCTGTCGACTGGTGACAATTGCACACTGATGGCTTTGTGAAGGAGATTGAAACAACCGGCACTTTTGGACTTCTGTGGACAGCTAAATGCCAGTTTCCTTTTCAGGAGTTGGTAACGTGAGAATTTTGAGAAAACAATTTTTTTGCAATGTACATTATCGTTTATTCCCCTAATGGGGTCGCGAGGAGAACTAAAGCTTATCCTAGTGGTCAATGGGCGAGAGGCCGGGTATACCCTGGACGGTCCTCCAGTCCGTCGCAGTCCTACACAGAGACACACAACCACACTCACTGCTAAGGGCAATTTGGAATGTCCAATCAACCTAACATGCAGGTTTTTGGATGGTGAGAGGAAGCCGGAGAACCCCGAGAGAACCCACAGACACAGAAAGAACATGCAAACAGAAACAGAAAGTTCCTGGTTCCCCCGGGGACTCGGACCCAGAACCTTCTTGCTGTGAGGCGATGGTGCTAACCACCGCAATCTAGAACAACTCCAACAAAAATATTTCAATGCATTTCAAGCAAATCTTGTCATTGCCAGTACAAGACCAAAGTTACAAGAACCTTAATGAACATGAACACTATATCCCTTAATTGAATCGCGGTCACATTTTAGAGGCTGAAGTCGCTTTTAGATTGTCAAAAGTGTGGTATCCTGGAGTCCCTGATTAGCTTTTTGCTTTACAGAGACACATGTTCTTGAAATAGAGACAGAGAGTTGAGATCTGAACTCCATTGTAGACACCATTGGGGACACCATTGTAGAATTTTCTGCTTTGAAAGTTAAATTGGAGAAACATGTCAAATCTTCATTTTAAAAAGTTCAAGCTTTCTATTGAATAGAAATAATGACTGTCGATCATCGGCTCGTAACTGTTCGAATTCAATATTTTTGCTTTCAAAGTGAAATTAATGAAAATGAATGAAAAAAATGAATGAAAGAAATAGATATATCCTCTGACAAATATTTCAAATAATATAGTTGTTGCAGATATCCACCACCAAAGGAAAGAATGGAAAGAAGAGTGTCACAAGATGCCATGCGGTGTGATTCCATTGTTTCCATGCCTTTTGTGTGTGTATGTGTGTGTGTGTGTGTGTGTCCATGTGTGTGTAATTCCTGCCTCTGGCTAATTCCAAGCCTTTTCTGATTCGTCTCAACCAAGTCCCGTGCCTCTATTTAACTATCTGAGTCGTAAATACCCCATCTTCCATCGTAACGTACCCAACAAAAATACAAACGTGGAACTTGGAGTTTGAGTCGAGCGCAGGTGAAACAAATTGCCATTAATGTCCCATCCAGTGTCCCAGATCCACACAATAGAGCGCTTCTAAAAACCGACCGGCCTAACTGGAATTCATTAAATTTAAATGTCACCAATTACAGTTACAAGCAACGGCACGTCAAAACATCTGCCTCTAAAAAAAAAAAGGGCCTGCGCACACACACACACATTACACAAAAAGGGAAATTCTGCTTTCCCAAGAGGTGTGTTAAAAGAGAAAAAAGGAGGCTAAAGAGGCGTGTTAAAAAAGAAAAACACTGATCCGCCGGAGTGAAAACAGCTGGACGAAGTATCCCGAGTGTGGAAAGGAGCTTTAAAGGGAACCGAGCGATGAACACAAACTGTTTTGACAAAAAAAGCAGAGAGACAAACGACCTGAGAAGTTAATCAAATCAGAGCCGTGCGCGATGAAAAGAAAAGTGTCTGGCCCAAAGCCCGGCCAAATAATCCGATAACAACAATTATTATTGCTTCCCTGGTTTACCGAGGCATTTCCTCCCTATTAACCATCTTTGCTCTTGTTCCATCTCCCGCTCACAGTTTAGAAAACAAAATGAAAGACACTTGGCCTAATGGGGGCAGTGAGATGCTTGTTTGACAAATCAGCTTGTACTTTGTCCTAACTATGTACTAATGGATGGAAATTAGACTGAAATTCTATGAGAATAAGAATGATATATAGATATATAGATGATATATAGATAGAATGATTATAATGAGAATTAGAATGAATTTAGAACATACCTGGGGCTTCATGGGAAGTCAATTAAATTAATCAAATTAATTAAATTAGATCTAGAAATTATGTCTATAAACTACAAAATTTCTGAAGAAATTTTGAGCAAGGCCACCTACTGCCCGTCCAGGAACCCGGGGCAGGTCGGCCAATTGATATTTGGGCTCTCTGTAATTGGCTCGCGCCAATCAGAGGGCCTGAGGGAGAGACGCAGTGATGGAGGGACCCGGCTGAGCTCTGGGGCCCGCTGACCGAATACGGATGGGGTGGGCAGGTCGGGGGTCACATTGGCTGAAAGCTGAGAAAAAGACCTACGCAACGAGGTATGACATGGCTTTTTCTTTTTTTCCGGCTGCTCCCACCGGTTATTTTTTTATTTCAAAATGAGGTCTGATTTGGCAGTTGATCAGATTTTCTCAAAATTCTTCCATTCAAATCCTATTGGAGAGGCTCATGAAAGTCTGGACTCTGGGCCCGATTGCCGGAAAACCGTAAGGCCGAGGTCAAAAGCGGGCACATCGGCCGAAAGAGGACGCCCGCGGCTACGTTTTGAGGCCATTTTGGCGCCGCTCGGCCCCACGGTTTGGTCGCGAGAGGCCAGAGTTTGACTTTTTTTCGGTGAACGTCCCCACAGGGCTCTCAGAGGCATTAACGAGCTACGCTAGAGTGTGGAGAAGATTCTCTGACCTCCTAAATTTCAGTAAAATGCGGGCAAACGGTGCGAGATCTGGCCTCGTGGCTCCGATATGGCGGAGGCCCGTCTTTCGTGACCCGTTCAATGTTCGAATGAGGTCTCTCAGACATCGTGGGGCCGAGCAACATTCAGCCCTTACCCCTTAGTAATTTTCTGTGTCAATAAATCCTGGCTAACAAACGGAGAATAGTCGGATTGAATGATGAATTTAGTTGCTTAATGGCACAAAAACGAAAAAAAATCCTCCAAACAGGAGGAGCAAAGACAAGTGAGGATCCGGGAGTTAAAAAAAAGTCTCATGTTCACACTCCCAGGGGAACTTTTGAGACATGGACCTTTTTATTATGGCGATCAGCACACCCATCAACAAAGACACACAGTAACATAAAGTCCAACATTTAAACCAGTAAATGTAACTTTAAACACTAAATATGAGTTTTTGTTTATAGAATAACAGCAATATATTTTTTAAAGTGCAACATTTAAACCAGTAAATGTAACTTTACACACTAAATGTGAGTTTTTGTTTAAAAAATAACAGCAATATATATTTTTACAGTGCAACATTTAAACCAGTAAATGTAACTTTAAACAGTAAATATGAGTTTTGTTTATAGAATAACAGCAATATATTTTTTAAAGTGCAACATTTAAACCAGTAAATTTGACTTTAAACACTTAATATGAGTTTTATTTATAGAATAACAGCAATATATGTTTTAAAGTGCAACATTTAAACCAGTAAATGTAACTTTAAACACTAA